GCTTGGTGGCTCAGCCTGTAATCCCAGCAATTAGGGAGGCCGAGGCAAGACTCACTTGGGCAACTTGGCGAGACCTTGTTTCTATAATCAAAAAATTAGCCGGGCGTGGTAGCGCTTGCCTGTAGTTCTGGCTACTTGGAGGGCTGAGGCGGAAGGATCGCTGGAGTCCAGCAGGTTGAGGCTGCGGTGGCTGGGAACATGCCACTGCACTCTAGTGTGGGTGACAGAGTGAGACTCCAACTCAAAAGAAAAAAAATTAAAAAAATAAGCCTAACATATAGTGGTCCTTGCCTGGGTAGTCCCAGCCATTTGGAAGGCTGAGGCAGGAGGATTGTTTGAGTCCAGGAGGTTGAAGTTATACTGAGCTATGATTGTGCCACTGTACTCCAGCCTAGGTGACAAAGTGAGACCCTATTTTAAAAAACAAGATGACCAAACCAGATGAACAGAAATCCAAAACAAAGTAGGAAATGCATGCTGGAGAGGAAAGACCTTGTTTTGGGCCATTTGTTGACTCAGCAATCTCTAGACACCTGCTGGGTGAGGAGGGTCCGATTCGCTGGATGTCCCTTGCTGGCAGATATGGTCTTGGCACTGAGGCACCTATATATTGCCGTACAGAGGTGGTAACAGACCAATCATTGCATGAATGGAAGGCTGGCAGACTGGGGAGTGGAAGGAGGGCTTCTTAGAAGAGGCATCTGAGTCGAGACTCCGGTGGCCGTGAGCATGCCACTGCACTCCAGTCTGGGCAATAGAGTGAGACTCTGGCTCAAAAAAAAAAAGCGGTAACTGAAGGAACTGGCAGCTGGGAAGTGCCTTGAAGGCAGGAGCCATATCCTTCCTAAATCTCCAGATCCTGGAACAGTGTCTGACACATGCTTGGTAAATACTGCTTTGAGAAAATGCCCGAATTGGCACATTGGGGAACAGGGCAGGACTGTGGGAGAGCCTCATAGGCACAGGAAGGTTCAGTTCCTAACAGCAATAGGGAGCCATCGGAGGCTGAGACCCAATGGAGAGAGGGCAGTCAGATCTGTCCCATGTATTAATGCAAGTACTCAAGTTGGTGCATTTTCCTCAGACTGCTTTTAAGCATGTGAAAAGATTTCCACTTTCACTCATCAAGAAGAAAAAAGGTTAAACTACAGGGGGGGTGTTTTCCTACCAGATTGGCGGGGGTCGGGGACTTGTAATGCACTGTGGTTTGGAACATCACTGCCCTGGTGTCTTACAAGGTGGAGTTTTATTGATGTTCCCCATTTGGAGGGTAGTGTCTAAATGTTACGGTACCTTTTGACCTGGCAGGTGCATTTTTAGAAAGTTCTCTTACAGATGTACTTCCTCATATGTGAAATGAGGTACACCTCCCAGTGTATTTATTCAATGCGGGACTGAGGTTTTGAGTCGGGAATATCACTCCGTGCCCAGCTTTTTTTTTTTTTTGTGGAGATGAGGTCTCACTATGTTACCTAGGCTGGTCTCAAACTCCTGGGCTCAAGCAGTCCTCCCGCCTTGGCCTCCCAAAGTGCTGGGCTTACAGACATGAGCCACCATGCCTGACCCTAGCATTGTTTGTTTGTAAAAGTAACCCAAATGCCAAGTCACCAGGAGACTGAGTCAAGCTCATTCACACAGTGGAATACAAAGCAACTGTGACAGAGAATGAGGAAACTCTTTATTTATACTGTGGGATAATCTTTCTGAACTATTATCAAGATTAAAAAACAAGACAAAGACACATTAGGTGATGTGTATTATGGTGCCTTTGGGGGAAACGAAATAGACTGGAACATATCTGGAGATGGAGGGCTACGAGTTTAGGGAGAAAGACTTCTTTTTCATGATATACTGTTTTGAGTTGTTTCAAAGAGATTTAGCTGGCAAATATATTACCTACTAAAACATATAAAGAGAGAGAATGAGACGTGGATGGATGGATGGGTGGAAGAATGGGTGCATGGATGGATGCATGGGTAGGTAAGTGGATGAATGAATTGTTGGATGGGTGGGTGTGTGGGTGGATGGATGTTCATGGTTGGGTAGATAGCTGTATCTATGGATATGTGTGTGGATGTGTAGATAGATAACTCTCTGGCTGTAATGGGGAGGACTCAGTAGAACCAGGAGAGGCCAGAGGCAGGGAAGGGTTAGGAAACTTGCAGTATTCCAGGCAAGGACTAATTGGGGCTAGGATCAGGTTATTTAAATGTTTCACATAGGAACTATGTCTCTTGTGTACATAACTGCATATATCAAGTTCCCACATTGGTTTCTTTCTAGAAGGGCAAATTCCTTTGGAATGAGCTTTTTCTGGCAATTGCTCAGCAACTGTTCTGTATATAATAACCACCCACAGTTTAATCCTTTTTTCAGCCATCACCTTCAGAATCACAAGTGGCATGAAGCCAATTAAAATCATTAGGCTTTAATACAAGTCACACCTTCTCCATTATCAAGGCTATCTTCCAAATGCCCACGTCCACAAAGGCATTAACTTTGTCCTTTTCAGGGTTTGTGTCTTGATGTTTCCTAGCTAAATCTCTTTGTGTGTGTTGGCCTTACAAAGTTTACTTTTCAGTGATTCCTTGTTCTTGGTTCTGGAAAGTCCACTTGTGTTGTGGACTAGTCTAACCTCTGGAGGACCAGTTTAGGTACTTGCTTTTGGGCACTCTGTTTTTTGAAGTCATGCTCCTTTATTTAAAAAAAAAAATCTTTTAAGCATCTTAATTATTTTTAAGTCTTCAATAGCAGTAAAGTACATTCATTGTTGTGAATAACTAGATCTCTTTAGTTCCTGGAACATGTGTATTTTGATAAGATTTTCTTTCTTTAGGTATTTTCTTTCTTGTCTTTAGATACCAGGTCTTGCTCTGTTGCCCAGGCTGGATTGCAGTGGTGTGATCATAGCACACCGTAGCCTTGACCTCCTGAGCTCAGGCAATCCTCCTGCTTCGCTCAGCCTTCCAAGTAGCTGGGACTAAAGATGTGCACCACTATGCCTGGCTAATTTTTTTGTAGAGATGAGATCTCACTGCCATGTTGCTCAGGCTGGACTTGAACTCCCGGGCTCAAGCAATTCTCCCACCTCAGCCTCCCAAAGTGCTGGGATTACAGGTGTGAGCCATTGCACCTGGCTTTCTAAAAATCTGCTTGTTTCCTTCACTTTAATGGTTTTTGACATGCCTTTGAAGCTTTAAAGTATGGAGCTGTAAGATTCTGGGTTCTTTGGGATTCCTTGGTGGCCCCAGGTGGCTGTGGAAAGGCTGCTGGAATCACCCATTTGGAGTGCACATAGGCCAGTGGAGAGGGAAGGCTGGGGAGAAGGGGATTTGTGGGGGACTGCAGTCACCTGGACATGTAGGCCTTACCCAGTGACTGGCTGCTTTCAGCCCCGCTGATGGTTGTGAAGTGGGAATGTAGGCCCAGTGCTGCCAGATTTTCTGATTTTTGAAGAGAACCCAGGAATCTGAATTTTTATATGAAATGACCCTATTTTAAACGTTGGCAGCTAATCTAAATTTTTTAAAAAATAAAAAGCATGTCAAGGCTGGGCGTGGTGGCTCATGCCTATAATCCTAGCATTTTGGAAGGCATAGGTGAGAGGATTGCTTGAGCCCAGGGGTTTGAAACCAGTCTGGGCAACTTTGTAAGACTTCATCTCGACAATAAATAAAATTAGCTGGGCATGGTGGCATGTGCCTGTGGTTCCAGCTACTTGGGAGGCTGAGGTGGAAGGATTGCCTGAACCCAACAGGTCAAGGCTGCAGTAGCCGTGAGTGTGCCACTGTGCTTCAATCTGGGTGACAGAGTAAGACTGACACAAACAAACAATTGTCTAAAACAAGAACAATAGCAACCACAAACCACCTGTGGGCCAGATTGGTGGGGGGCGGAGGGAAGGACTTGTTTCTACTTCTTGTTTTATCCAACCTAATCATGGTAGAGGTAGGAAATTGAGACCCTGAGAAAGGGCAGTAACTTTTCTCAGAGTTGTGTAACTAGTCAATTCTCAGAGTTGTGTAGCTAGTCAATCGCCAGCTCAGGACTTGAGTTAAATTCAGATTCTTCAGCTGGACATGGTGGCTCACTCCCGTAGTCCCAGCTACTTGGGAGGCTGACTTGAGGATCACTTGAACATAGGAGGTTGGGGGCTACAGTGAGCTATGATCATACCACTGCACTCAAACCTGGACGATAGAGTGAGACTGTCTTAATATTTTCTTTTTTGTTTTAAATTCTTCACTTCAAAATTCTCACAGCTGATTGAGGTTTATTCTTGGGCAGATATACCTGATCTGTTTATTTACATATGTATCTATGTGTTTATCTATTTGGCATGACTCTAAGAAAATACTGGCTTATTGAAGCAAATTTGTTTCCAAGCCTGGATAGTTTAGTGGTAAAATACAGAGACTTAAACCAGATGGCCCAAGATTCACTTCAGCACCAGATCTTACTAACTGTGTGATACTGGGCACATCATTGACCCTCTCTGTGCCTCAGTTTTCACATCTCAAACAGGAGATGATGAAAGCACTTCCCTCATAGAATTAGAAGAGGTGCTTACATGTGAAGTCCAGAACATGAGTCTGACCACAGAGCTGCAGCCTCGGTGTTATCCCTGGTGGTGGCTGTGAGGAGGATGGCGATTAGAAAGTCCTCAGCTCACAAGTGAGTCTAGTAGATGTGGCCCATGTGGCTAAAGGATTCTTCAGTGTACAAAGGCTCATCCTGCAGGGCCCTCTTTAAAAGGCTGTCTCCATCGCTCCTATAGCAGTGGGACTTGCCACTGGTTGCAAGCGTATCTGTTTTGGAGGGGCAGTGTGACTTACCTTTATTCCTTGTTTGTGCTTTTGCCTTCCTGGCTACTGACCTTTTGTGTCCTGGGGCGTGGGGGGTCCTTCAAGCCCGCAGCAGCTGGTTTTGAGCCCCACATGGGCCCCCCTCCTCATGGGCTTGTCCCATCGAGTCTCGCCTGTGTCTGTCTGTGTCTGCAGGATTGGAACATCACATGGTACACCAGCAACCCCGACTTCACCAAGTGCTTTCAGAACACCGTGCTCGTGTGGGTGCCTTGTCTCTACCTCTGGGCCTGTTTCTCCTTCTACTTCCTCTATCTTTCCCACCATGACCGGGGCTACATTCAGATGACACATCTCAACAAAGCCAAAACTGTGAGTCCCTAGGGGTTTTGGCATGGGGGTGGTGAGCTGGGGGGAGCAGTGATTGGTGAAGGCTGTCATGTTTCTTCTGCTTAATTGACCCTAAGTTCCTTTTTCTACAAGACAGAAGAATGAATAATGTGGGAAATAAAAACTGGAGCTCTGAAGTCCAATATGGGTTTGAATTTCGACTCTGCAGCTTAGTATTGACCTTGGGCAAATTTTTTAACTTCCCCAAGCATCAGTTTCCCCAATTGTGCATGGAAATGATAGGATCTTTCTCAAGGGATTATCAGGTTATCAGATCTTCCTCTTTTATGGAGCTTTCTCCTTTTTATTTACTTACTTTTTAAAAAAAGGTTTTAATTTTGAAATAATTTCAAATTACAGAAAATCTGCAAGAACAATCCCAGGAACTACCTCCCGACCTTGTCTACCAATTATGCATAGTCAAAGATTTTATTTATTTATTTATTTATTTATTTTTTTTTTGAGTTGGAGTCTCACTGTCACCTAGGCTGGAGTGCAATGGCACGCTCCTGGCCACCTCATCCTCGACCTGCTGGGCTCCAGCGATCCTTCTGCTTCAGCTTTCCAAGTAGCTGGAACTACAGGCGTGTGCTACCACACCCGGCTACTTTTTTTATTTTATTGTAGAGATGAGGTCTCGCCAAGTTGCCCATGCGGGTCTTGAACCCGCGGGCTCCGGCAATCCACTCACCTCAGCCTCCCAAAGCGCTAGGATTACAGGCTAAGCCACTGAACCCAACTGCTATTTTTATTTTTATTTTTATTTTTTTGAGTCAGAATCTCACTCTGTCACCCAGGGTGGAGTGAAATGGTACACTCACGGCCACTGCAGTCTCGACCTGCTGGGCTCAGGCGATCCCTCCACCTCAGTCTTCTGAGTAGCTGGCATGCCACCATGCCCAGCTAATTTTTTGATTTTTTTTTATTGTGGAGACGAGGTTTCACCAAGTAGCCCAGGCTGGTCTCGAACCCCTGGGCTCAGGCAACGTGCTGGGATTTCAGGCTTGAGCCACTGTGCCTGGTTGAAGGATTTAAAATATTTATTTATTTATTTTTGAGTAAGGGTTTTACTCTGTTACCCAGGCTGGGGTGCAGTGACAGGAACTCGGCTCAGCACAGCCTCGACTTTTCTGGGCTCAGGAGATCTTTCCTCCTTAACCTCCAAGTCGCTGGGACTATGGGTGTATACCACCATACCAGCTTATTTTAAAATTTTTTTTTGTAGAGGCTGGATCTCACTTTGTTGCTCAGCTGGTCTCGAACCCCTGGGCTCAAGCAATCCCACCTCAGTCTTCCAAAGTGCTGAGGTAACAGGCGTGAGCCACCACACCTGTTCCGACTTCTTATTTATAGTTATCTCCCTTTGAGAAGCACTCAGTCCGTAGTAGGCCCTCAGTCAGTACTGGGTGGCGGAATGTTGTTGAATGAATGGCTTCTGGGTGAGGGTTCTCGTGCCATGTGCTGGGGTTGCAGGTACCAGAAGGCTGCAGGCAAAGCTTGGTAGTCTTCAGGTGCTGGGAAGAATAGGGACCAGAAAGTGGGTCCTGCTGGTGGAGTAGAACGTTGCAAGATGGTTCCAGGCCATTGTGGGGTGGCCTGGATAATGGCTTACCCTCCCCATGGCTTGTCTATATTCCCAGGATCTGTGCTGTTGTCTGAGGGCCACGGGCGATTGTTGGGGGCTGTGGTTCCCCTGCGGCCGAGCCTTCTGCCGGGCTGCCGGGGGAGGTTCTAACACTGCCTGCCATGAGATGTGCGTGTGCTTCCCTTCTAGGCCTTGGGATTTCTGCTGTGGATCGTCTGCTGGGCAGACCTCTTCTACTCTTTCTGGGAAAGAAGTCAGGGCATCTTTCTGGCCCCAGTGTTTCTGGTCAGCCCAACTCTCTTGGGCATCACCATGGTAAGTAGCAGCTGATTATGAACCCTCGGCCATCTGCCAGGCACTGTGGAGACCAAATATAGTGGCATTTAGAAATATGAAAACCATGGCCGGGCACAGGGACTCATACATGTACTCCCAGTACTCTGGGCAGATGAGGTGGGAGGATTGCTTGAGGCCAGGAGTTTGAGACTAGCCTGGGCAACATAGCAAGATCCTGTCTCTACAAAAAAAAAAAAAAAATTAGGCGTGGTGGCGCACATCTGTAGTCCCAGCTACTTAAGAAGCTGAGGCTGGAGGATTGCTTGAGTCCAGGAGTTCAAGGCTGCAGTGAGCTACGATCACGCCGCTGCACTCCAGCCTGGGCCACAGAGTGAGACCCTGTCTCAAAAAACAAAAACTGGGCTTTCCTCGACTTTTCCATCCTATCCCAGATCTACACGTGGTCCTGTTAAATTCCCATAGTTGCCCAGGTTGATACTGTATGCATCCCCATTTTGCAGAAGGGGCAGTAGAGGTTCCAAGAGGTTCTGTGACTTGACAAGAGCAGGGTTGGAGCTGGGCTGAGGCCCTTGAGCCGAGGGCGGTCCTTCCCCCAGCCTGGCATCTGCCATGTTGCTGGACCCCGAAGCCTTGGGTCCTGCCTTCTCTGAGCCCCCTGTTGTGTGTGTCTCTCTTCCAGCTGCTTGCCACCCTCTTAATTCAGCTTGAGAGGAGGAAGGGGGTCCAGTCCTCAGGGATCATGCTCACTTTCTGGCTTGTTGCCCTCCTGTGTGCCCTCGCTATCTTGAGGTCCAAAATCATGACTGCCTTACGGGAGGTAGGTGGAGGCCTCGTGCCACGTCTTTGTTTGGTGGCCCTTGGAGGAGAGATGCTTGCTTCTTCCATGTGTAGGAGTCCAGCGTTGCCATGAGAGCCAGGTCATGGGTACCTCATGGGCATGGCTTCTTCCCTGGGGACTTCCCTACCCTGACAAATCCACACTGAAGTCAGCTCCAGCCTTTGTTCTGGAACCTTTTTTCCCAGGGCCCCATTTGTCTGTAGCTCTGAGGGGTCCAGGGAGGACCCACAAGGTAGGAGTTGTGGGCAAATGCAGGGCCATCCTCTGAGCTCATGAACAGCAGACAGCAAGGCAGGCGGCTCCAAACATCTCAAACCTGAGATGGAGCCAAGTTGGGAGTGGCATTTGCAGAGTCACTGTCCCCCCAGGGGACCCTAGTCTTGTCCCCGTGTTACCTCTGTGCCATCAGCAGCTACTCTGGCTTGAGAAGTTGTTGATGTTGGCTGCCGTGGGTTGCTCCTAGCAGTTTTGGGGAGTGTGCCCTTTAGAGTCTAACCTGCTGCTCCTGTCATCTTGAAGCTAATTGGACTGGCATGATGCAAAGGAAAGAAAATAAACTGGACATCTATTGAGTGCCCACAGTATGCAGTGTAGTAGACTGTCTTTATGAGTGGTGGCAGCTGACACAGCTGGTATTGTGTTTCCACAGAGCTTCACAGGGGACTGAGTGTGCTTCATGAATACTCTTACTGACTTCTCATGATGATTGGAAAGGGTTTCTCAGCCTTGGCATGCATTGGCGTTTTGGACCTGAGACTTCTTGGTTGTGGGGACTGTCCTGCACCTTGTAGGATGCTTAGAGACCCCCTTGGCCTCTCCCCCACTGGGTACCCGTAATACTCCCAAGTTATGGTGAACAGAAATGTCCCCAGAAGCTGCTGGATGTTTCCTAGGAGGCAAAAATCACCCCTGATTAAAGACTTCAGGCCTATTTTTAGGTGGAAAAACTGAGGCACAGATACGTTAGACAAGGTTAGATACATTGACAAGGTCCCATAGCCAGTATGAGCGAGCCAGGCCTAGGACTCAGTTCCCTTTATTCCCTGTTGTGCCTGTTCCCGCCAGGCATTGGGGAACAGGGTGGTCCCCTTTCTGCTGCTCAGCCCGTGGGCCTGAGGCTGAGGACGTGGGCCTTCTCTCCTGGCCTCGGCAATTGCTTCCGGAAAGTGATCTTGTTTTCCTCCCTCCTTCCCTCCTGCAGGATGCCCAGGTCGACCTGTTCCGTGACATCACTTTCTACGTCTACTTTTCACTCGTGCTGGCTCAGCTCGTGTTGTCCTGTTTCTCAGACCGTGCACCCCTGTTCTCCGAAACCATCAATGACCCCGTAAGTGTGCCCACAGGTGCGTGCGTGCGTGCATGTGAGAGAACAATGCTACACAGCACCCATTCACTGTTATCACATCTGACCACCTCCTTCCAGCCTCCCTTAACACCTGTACACAGGGCACATCCTCCTTCCCACTTCACAGATGGAAACACTGAGGCCTAGATGTGGCTGAGGGTGCTGACAGACAGATTCTGCTTTGTGGCTACCAACTGCTGTGTCTTGCAGGCCTGCAGGTGTCCTCACTTGGCATGGTGATTTTGGAAAATGTGAGCAGATGTTTGAAAATCAGGAAATTTCACCCAAATTGTAACAGTCCAGGTTTTCTAGAAAAAGAAATTATGACAGATGAGGGCCGTCATCCCATGGGGGTTGAGTGGCCAGTGCTGAGGGGTGCTGCCTGAGCTTGCCAGAGTCCCCACTATTCCCTAGTGAGTCACACCATCTTGCTTTCCTCATTTGTGGCAGGTGTCTGGTCCCTGGGGGATTTGAGTGTGAGAGGCTTGGTCTGTTCTGCCAGTTTCAGGGAGATTCTGTAGGTGCAAAAGTTTTATCTGTGACTGGGGTGGAGCTGGCCGCCCTCCCTGCTGGTAGAAGGATGGGACACCCCACTCACCTTAATTCTCACCTTTTTTTCTCCCTCATTCTTTCCTTCTCTTCTTCCTTCCTCCCTTTCCCTTTCCCCTTCCTTAATATCTTTCCCTCCTCCCTTCTTCTCTCCCCTCCTTCTTTCCTTCCTCTTTTCCCTCCCCTCCTTCCTTTTCTTCTTCCAACAAATACCAAGTGTCAGGCTCCCGTCTGGGCCTAGGGCTTGGCAGTGAATAGAGTAGAGTTCTTGCCCACTTGAGGCTGACATTGGCAAGGTTGGGGGAGGAGGAGGCATGGAGCCAAGCAGTAACCAGGACCCAAGCATATGTAGGGAGGAGTAAGTGTTGAGGGGAAGGTAGTGGAGAATGGTGACCAGGGTTGTGTATGTATGTGGGGGGGTTGAGTTGGAGACTCACTCTGTTGCCCAGGCTGGAGTACAGTGGCATGCTCACGGCCACCATAGCCTCGACCTGCTGGTCTCAGGCAATCCTTCCACCTCAGCCTCCGGAGTAGCTGGAACCACAGGCATGCAACTACCACACCCGGCTAATTTTTTGATTTATTGTAGAGATGAGGTCTTGCCATGTTGTCCAAGCTGGTCTTGAACCTGTGGGTTTAGGCAATTCTTGTGCCTCTGCCTCCCAAAGTGCTGAGATTATAGATCTGGCGAGTGGTTTTTGGTGGGAGATCTGGGAGGCTTCCCCAGGAAGCAGCATTTGAGTAGAAACCTACGGAGTGAGGGAGTAGACACCTGGAGGAAGAGCATTCCAGGCATGGGGTGGCATGTGTAAGGGCCCCTGGGGTGGGAGCTGTCGTGGAGTATGGTGGAAACAGAAAAGCCAGCAGGGCAGGAACGGTGGGCAGGAACGGTAAGGGGCTGGGAGCCGGTGCCTGGGAGTTGGGCTGGTCCTCTGTGTGCAGGATGAGTGGCTTGCGTTTGGTTCTGAGTGCGATGGGGCGCCTTGGCGCTCTCATTGGGTGCTTGCTGTGCTGCTCAGCAGTTAACAGGTGCACTGTATCCAACTTTCAGCTTTGAGGTCCCTCTGGCTTTGGCCTGAACCTCTGTGAAGAACTGAGGCTCACCTTGTGGGTGACGAATGGGTGTCCGGGGTGTCAGCATGGAGGAGGAGGGTAATGCCAGTTGGGAGATTTTAGAGACATGTTTCCTTCTGGCTTGTGCCCTGCAGGACCCTGTTTTCGTGTCTCCTTTCCCAAAGAGGAACTGGGGCTGGAGAAATTAGCAAAATGTATATGTCTGGTATGTATCTGTGTGTGTGTGTGCATTCACATTTATGTGTACATGCAGGTGCTCATAAGTGAATGTGTGCTTGTGTTGTGTGCGTATGTTCACATATGTGTGTGTGTGCGTGTGTGCACATAAAGTCCACAAGGGCAGTAGCCACGCAAGCGGTGTCCCGTTGGATTCCTGGCCCAGGCCTGGCACAGAGAAGGCTCAAATATCCGTGGCTGTCGTGTCTATTGCTTATCGGTGTGTGGGTATGTGACAGCGGGATGTCCCCATCTCTTAGATATCAGGCTGTCCTGTGGAGCAGGGGACTGGACCAAACAAGTCACACCTGCCTGGGTGGCTGCCGACCTTGGGTTGCTCTGAGGATAAACTGAGTCTGGAGGGCTGACTCACTGGCCTGCGGATCACCTTGTCAGGCTTCCACTGGGGGCCTAGGAGGAGCCCTCTGCTGTGGACCGTTCTGGAAGCTTAATGGGGAGAGAGTTGATGACTTTTGGTCTCCTCTGGGGATCTGGATTAAAAACCCCTTTTACTTCTTTCCTGAGTGTGTGCATGGGGGTGGCTCTCAGAGTGACTGGGTCCTTCCTTAGTGCTTTCTGCATCCCGGCAGACTGCATCGAGGCCTGTGCTGCTCCCTTGGGTGGTATGATGCTCTTGGCTCTGGCTGCTGGAGGATGTGGGGTCTGGAGCACCCCACCTCTTTGCCCCAGCCATGTCTCTTCATCCCTGTCCATCTCATCTCTGTCCTGCTACCCCATGTCATTCCTGGTTCTCCTTGTCTCCTGTGCAGTGAGATCCAGCGACGTGGCATACATGGTGTGTGACTGGTGCATTTGTGGTCCTTGTGCCCAGGGCCAGGAAGGAACATTTTGGGGTGACACTCCGCCCAGGAGCCCAGCCTTCCCAGTGGGTTCTGTTCAGTAGCCCCATGGGGAGCCATTTGCCTCATTGCATTTGGGAGTCTAGACTAGGGATTGAGCAACAACACCGGCCTGCTACCTGTTTTTGTGAATAAAGTTTTATTGGAATGCAGTTACGCACAAAGCCTGGCGTGTGTCCTGTCTGGCTCTTTACGGAACAAGTTGGCTTATGCCTGACCTGGAGCACTTGTTTAGTGCTGGTAACATTTTGCCTTTCTTTTTTGTCTCCTTCCATTACCAGGTGTTCCATCTTCCAGCGAGAGGCAAGGAAAGGGATGGATATTTCATTAGATGCTTGCTGTGTTCCAGCACTGTATGAAGCTTCTCATAGGCATATCTCATTTATGAGATATCACCCTCACATCAGCCTCACATATATCACCTCACATCAGCCCTGGTGAACTTGGTGCTGTTTTTTCCCCTGTTTTACAGACAAACTGAGTCTCAGAGAAAAGTGCCTTGCCCAATGTGTATGGTGGAGCCAGGATTTGAACCCAGGATTGACTGTTCTCAGAATCATGTCACTTCATGATTAACAGGAGAGCATGTTTTTTATAAATACACATGACAGGGCCTCATAGAAAAGAAGGGAAGACCCCAGGAGGGGTTAGGTTTGAGCTTACCTACCATTTTAGCAAAGGGTGATACATTCGTGGAGAGCGATAAGACAAGAGAAGGGAGCTTGGGCTTCTGGGGTGGCAGGTTGTGAGGCAGTAAATAGGTGGGGAAACCAATGGATGAGAAGGGTTCTTTGGCAAGGTCTGTGCAGACCCATCTCGGTGCTGCCCGTGACAGTGGTGGTTCTCCTGGTGCGGGAGGGGGAGGGGCCGACCTTCCCAGTGGAAGATGTGCATCCTGCTCTTGGGCAGATGCGGAAGGGCAAAGAGCTCTTTCTGTGCTTGCTGCTTTTTTTTTTTGAGTCAGGTTTTCACTCTGCCATCCAGGTTGGAGTGCAGTGGCAGGAGCACAGCTCACAGTGGTAGCCTCTGGCTTCTGGGCTCAGATGATTCTCCCTTTTTAGCCTCCCAGGTAGCTGGGACTACAGGTGCACACCACCTCACCCAACTAATCTTTGTCATTTTTGTAGAGATGAAGTCCTGCTATGTTGCCCAGGCTGGTCTCAGACTCTTGGGCTCAAGTGATCCTCCTGCCTTGGCCTCCCAAAATGCTGGGATTACAGGTGTGAGCCACTGTGCCCAGCCTGTGTTTGTTGCTTTTCAGTTGCCTTCAGCTCAAAATAGTCCTTATGCCACAGTAGGGTATTTTGGGGTGACATATCTGATCCCCTTCAGAATATGCCCCAGTAACCTAAGACTCCATAACAAATCACTGAATTTGATTGCATGAAACAGCAATAGGAGTTTGTAAGGTTTCACAAACTGGGCTCCACTAGGCGGTTCTTAGTCTCTCCTGCCATCACAGTCAGATGTGGCTAGGACTTGGTCAACTCAGAGTTTGCTCAATCTCGTGTTGGGTGGTTCATGCTGGCCACCGGCCAGAACCACCCTTGGGGTTGGCACCAATGCAAGGTCTCCCCATGTGGCCTGGACTTCCTCATGGCACCGCAACTGATCTTTGAGAGTGGGTGCCCTACAAGAGCTGGGTGGAAGCGGTGTCACCTTATATGACCTAGTCCTGGGAGTCACATGGTCACTCCTGCTGTGCTTTGCTGGGGGAGGCAATCACAATGGGAAGGGATGCAGACTACACTTTCACATGGGTAAATGGCCACGTCTTCTTTTAAGAAGGGCCTGTTCTCACAGTGTTGGGTGATATTCTGGCCATCTTTGGAAGGCACAGTTCACCATGTGCCCTTGAGTCATGATTCAGCTGGGGAACAGCCATTCAACAGGTCAGCGACAGATAACTGAATAACCACATAACAACTGAGGTGGAGGCAAGAAAGGGCAGAAAAAAGAGTAAGCTAGATTTGTGACTTCAGGCACATCACTCTTCCTTTGGGCACCTCAGTGCCTCCTTCTTAAAAATGGGTGCCCCAGTCTGGGCAACATATTGAGACTTGTCTCTACAAAACACACACACACACACAAAATTAACCAACCCAAAATTAGCCAGGTGTGGTGGCATGCACCTGTAGACCCAACTTCTTGGGAGGCTGAGATGGGAAGATTGCCTGAGCCCAGCAGGTTGAGGCTGAGGTGAGCTGTGATTGTGCCACTGCACTCCAGCCTGGGTGACAGAGTAAGACCCCAACTCAAGCCGGGCTCGGTGGCTCAGCCTGT